GACAATCCTTTAAGACACCACATGCTGTTCTTTCTGATATAGGGACACCATCTCATTTCTTCACATCTTGCTATAACACCAGTATCTTCAGTGATCTCTTCATGAGGGTCAGTATCGAGTGGGGCCATGTCATAAGAACTAATTGTTCTTAGACTGGGGCTCTGATTAAGTGGGAGCTCAACATCCATTCATATAACTATGGTTTATATGTCACTGGTCCACTTTTGAGATATCACTACCCTTTTCCTGGAGAATATTATAAATCATCTCCATGGGGCATATTAATGTAACCAGTGGTGTATAATTTAAATCTCTGTTTAGAAAAGGAAAGCATGCATGTACAGGACAGCTTTTACAACTAAAATACATGGATGTTGACTTGTACAGATTAAAAACTTAAGTGATTAGACACTATTTACACAAACAATGAGGGGTGGAAATGGAGCAATGCTTTCCATAGATCATTCACAAAGACAGGCTCTGCCTGCTGGACTGGCATATCATAAAAAAGCAGAGATAGCGTGAAAGGAAGTGGCCATTTTGAGCTGCCATTTATTGGACCCACTAAAAGCATGAGACTTGACCAAAGTTGAATATCGTAACTTCCAAACCCATGACCTTGGGATAGTAGTCATCTGCTTCTTCTCACACTAGAGCATTTCGGCCTGAAGTCCAAGGGAGTGTTCAGCTCAGTGGTTCTCAACTTTCCTAATGCCGTGCGTGACCCTTTCATGCAGTTCCTCATGTTGTGGTGACCCCCCCAACCAGAACATTATTTTCGTTGCTACTTCATCACTGTGAGTTTGCTGCTGTTATGAATCGGGCGGTCTCTGTGAAAGGGTCGTTCGAGCCCCCAAAGGGGTCATGACCCGCAGGTTGAGGACCGCTCTTTCAGTCCCTCTAATCTGCTACAGGTGAGTCTAAAGTAAAGCCCAGTGTACCTAGTGGGGTTTCCAAATTGTATCCTTCTGGTGTGGCCTATGAAAGCTGTTGTGCACCTCAAAAAGACAGAGCCTACAGTCCCAGATAGCTATATTATCCTGCCTGTGTCCCCAAGGGCTGGATAGAAACTAGTTAAATTGCCTAACGAGGAACATACTACAGGGCGTATTCTCCCACTGGGGTCTATATAAGTAATGTGAAGCATTTTTTTCCCAATGGCATGTTGCTCCACCTGGTTTATCCAACAGAAATGAAATTACCTTTTCTGATACAGACATGTTTGCCTCTTCCTCACCTCCGACCCTCCACCTCTGGATTTGAATTTCCATTCAGGTTCACTAGGCACCCTTGTCTGTTGATTTGAGGCAACTGTGGAACGATGCTAAATGGCAGGAAATGAGTGGTCTTCTCCCTCTCTCTCCATCATGAGAAACGGACCCCAGTTGAAAGGAGGCCTGTTTTGTTGAAGTGGTCGTTAAGTGGTCGTTAAGGGGATGGTTTAGGGATTGTGAGCCCTAGACAGGCTCACCACCTCATTGATCAGGAGACTAGATTAGAAGATTCCATGCCCTGAGAACAGATGTCTGCCTTTGGCTTGCTGCTTATTCTTATACTAGTGGGCTTCTACAATATTTGCCCTTTTGTGATTGACTCACTTCACTCGGCAAAATGGTTTCCAAGTATCTCCACATCATAAGGTGTTTAGTAGTTTCATCACTGGTTTTTAGGGGTGCATAATATTCCATTATGGTTATGTACCAGAATTTCTTCATCCATTCTTCTACCGACAGGCATTTGGGCTATTTCCAGCTTCTTGCCATTGTGAACTGTGCTGCCTGTTCAGGTTCTGTCCCTTATTTTGGGGGGAGTACATAGCCAGCAGAGGTATTGCTGGGTTATATGGTATTTCTAGTCACAGACGTTGTAGGTAGCACCATGTTGCTTTCACAATAGCTGTGCACATTGACAAGCCCACAAGCAGGGTATAAGACATTCTTTCTTTTTTTTTTATCATTTTATTGGGGGCTCATACAACTCTTATCACAATCCATACATACATCAATTGTATAAAGCACATTTCTATATCCATTACCCTCATCATTCTCAAAACATTTGCTCTCCATGTAGGCCCCTGGCATCAGCTCCTCATTTTCCCCTTCCCTCCCTGCTCCCACCTCATGAACCCTTGAAAATGTATAAATTATTATTTTGTCATATCTTACACTGTCCGACATCTCCCTTCACCCACTTTTCTGTTGTCCGTCCCCAGGGAGGAGGTTATATGTAGATCCTTGTAATCAGTTCCCCTTCTCTACCCCACCCTCCCTCTACCCTTTCGGTATCACCACTCTCACCACTGGTCCTGAAGGGAGCATCCGTCCTGGATTCCCTGTGTTTCTAGTTCCTATCTGTACCAGTGTACATCCTCTGGTCTAACCAGATTTGTAAGGTAGAACTGTGATCATGATAGTGGGTGGGAATGAAGCATTTAGGAACTAGAGGAAAGTTGTATGTTTCATCGTCCGTTGCTACACTGCACCATGACTGGCTGTCTCCTCCCCACGACCCTTCCATAAGGAGATGTCCAGTTGCCTACAGATGGGCTTTGGGTCCCCCCTCCGCACTCCCCCTCATTCACAATGATATGATTTTTTTGTTCTTTGATGCCTGATACCTTATCCCTTTGACACCTCGTGATCACACAGGCTGGTGTGTTTCTTCCATGTGGGATTTGTTGCTTCTGAGCTAGATGGCCACTTGTTTACCTTCAAGTCTTTAAGACCCCAGAGGCTGTATCTTTTGATAGCTGGGCACCATCAGCTTTCTTGACATTTGCTTATTCACCTGCTTTGTCTTCAGGGATTGTGTTGGGAAGGTGAGCATCATGGAATGCCAGTTTAATAAAACAAAGTATTTTTGCATTGAGGGAGTACTTGAGTAGAGGTCCAATGTCAATCTGCTACCTTAATACCAAACCTATAAATATATGCACATAAATCTATTTCCCCATCCTCATATATAAATATATTTACATATGTACATGCCTTTATTTAGACCTCTTTAAATGCCCTTTGCCTCCCAGCTCTTTCCTCTATTTCCTTTTACTTTCCTCTTGTCCCACTATCATACTCAGCCTTCATTTGGGTTACAGTAATCCCTCTTGGTTACATTACCCTTGATCACGCCAAACCAGGCCTCCAAACCCTCCTCACCACCGATTTGGATCACTTGTTGTTCCCTTTCCCCTGGGTTTGTTAACACCACTTCCTTTCCTTTCTTATGTCCCCCCGGAACTGTTGGTCCATTGTTTTCTCCTCCAAATTGTTCATCCAGCCTATCTTATTTAGACAGACCTGTGGAGATAATAACACGCACAAAAACAAGACAGAGCAAAACCAAGCTACAAAAGAAAACAAAACAACAATTAAAAAGCCAATGACAAACAAAATAAAACAAAAACACAACACAACAACCAAAAAGAAAAGCTTGTAGTTAGTTCAAGGACTGTTTGTTGGCGTTTAGGAGTGTTTTCCCATGAGTCTGATGGGGTGCCAAGACCTGGCCCCAAAGTCTATTTTTTATGTTCCCTGGGGACTTCGTTGCTCTGTTCCCCTTGCTGTTCTATTGCATGCTCTTAGTGTTTTGCCTCGATGAGGGTGTAAGACTTTCAAACTCTCTGTACCCTCTCAGCATTGTTGTTTATTTTTTTTAATTAGGCTGTTGTGGGTATAAGGTGATATCTCATCATTGTTTTGATTTACATCTCCTAGATCATGAGCATTTTTTTCATGTGTTTGTTAGACATTGGAGTGTCTTTTTTGGTGAACTGTCTGTTCGTGTCTTTTGCCCACTTTTTAATTGAATTATTTTTAGGTTTTTATTGAAGTGTTGCAGAATTTTATAAGTCCCTTGTCTGTTGTGTCATTGCTAAAGATGTCTCCCCCCCACCCCCCCACCCCACCGTTCATGGACTCTCTTTTTGGAGAGGTGAAACTCGTGGGAAATAATTCAGATTAGAACAACTCACCAGTAAACCCATATTTCCCTTGTTTGTTCGGTGTTCTGCCTGCTGTGACTCAGTGCTCAGACCTGAAAGTATGTTATCTTAAACCCTTTTATGGCCTTGACGGGCTCCTCACAGTGTAGCTATTTGTGTACTTGTTTTATTGACCTCACTCGATTATTGGCCACGAAGCGCTAATGGAGTAGCGGTTATGCCTAGGCTACCAACCATAAACTCAGCAGTTTGAAACCATCAGCGGCTCCTTAAGAGAAAGATGATGCTTTTTACTTGAGTATAAAGAGTTACAGTGCCAGCTCTCCCCTGTCCTATATGGTTGCTGTGAGTCAGAATCGACTGATCTGGCAGTGAAAGTTTACTGACCAGGGGAGAGAGGGGGTGTCTCTTAGGAAAGAGTTTAAAATATGACAAGAACACAACTTTACCTGTTATACATTGCACAATCCTGTCACAGTCATGACACTGGATGTAGAAGTTAATGGGTGTCTATGGGGAAATCATCGCAAGATGATCACAGTGGAGGAGCTTCCTTCTGCCTACCTTTATCCTTTGTGCATAAACCTCCTTCATCCGTTTCCCCTAAATAGCCTGCTCTTCCCCGATTACCAAAGATAAAGCTCAGGACCATTTCTCCTTCCTGTCCCCTTGCATGTTCCTGCCGCAGCTTGGTGGTCAGAAAGGGGCTGTGGGGTCCTCAAGATGGCAGTTAGGTGCTGTCTTACGGACAATCCACCCTAACATATCGCTTGCTTCCATTTCCCCCCATTCCCTCACGTGCTACACATCATGCATCGCATCACTCTTGGCTGTGTGGCGTTTTCACACACAGTAAACACAGATTTGCACTTTGCTTGTAATTTACCCCGTTTGTTTCTCCTAAGTATTTCTGAGCCTGTAAAATAAATATTCATGATAAGGCTTTAATGGTTACATAATATTCCTTCAAGGACATATACTTGAACCTACAGAAATATTTCAGTGTTAAGTATCCAGGATTTAAGGGTAAATGCTTTCACCATTTGACCTTGCATGTCAGGGACTGGAGGTTAGTCAAGGTTACGTCCAGGGCTCCCAGTACCAGCGCAGCACCGGCAGCATCCGCGGGGCCCGGCGCCGAGGCGGAAGCTAAGGCACCAATCACACGGCTTCTTCGGGCACCTGCCGCCTTGGCGCCAATTCCCGCCTATCGCACGCCGCTCCGCCCGCGCGGCCGAGCCCCCGGGCTGGGTGCGCGCGCACCCTGGCCCGGAGCGGCCCCTGTCGGGAGCCCCCTCTTAGGTGTACGTGAGGCCGGAAGTGACGTCGGGCCCAGGAGGCCGGAGAGGGCGGAGCTAGACTATAAATGACCTGTTAGGGGCGCCGACACCGGCAGAGGCGACCAGGGTCGGCGAGAGGGTGCCGCGTGAGTGCAGCAGCGGAGCCAGCGTGAGTGAGGGGCGGCTGCCCGCGCCCGGCCGGCCCTCCCCTCCCCGGCCGGCAGGGCTGTCCGAGCGGCGCCCCCCGTGCAGCGGGAGCAGGGCGGCGGCAGCGTTTGAGGGCGGGATCCGCGTGGAGCTGGGCCCAGGTGCGGCGGGAAGGCGGCCCGGAGCACGGCCGGCAGCTGCGGTGGGAGCGCAGCCGCCCTGCCTGCTCCTTGCTGTGCCTTCCTCGCTGGAGGCGCAACGACTGCTTCCGTGGGGCTCCCTGTCGCCCGCCTTTCCTCGTCCCCTCCTCCGGATCACTTTCCCGTCCGAGCGGAGCCCCGGAGAAATGCAGGCCCGGGGGCGAGCCACGCGCTCCGGGGTGCGGGTTCGAGAGCCGGGGCGCCCTCCCGCGCTGGGGTGGCCTTGCCGCCGCTGCACGCGCGGTGCCTGTTCTGCAGCGAGCACGTGGCCGCTCCAGGAAGTCGCCTCCGGGGACGATCGGGGTTCAGGAGTGACCTTGCCCTCCGAACGCTCGGCTTCCCGGTGCCCACGCGGGCCCTGGTCGCGCCCCTCGGAAGGACAAAGCTGCCTCCAATTTGGTCTCGAGCGTGTCGTGGGCATTTAGAATAGGGAATTTGGGATTAGAACCCCATCTTCCTGGCCAGGCTCTGCTTTTGGTCTTTTGTGCGGGCCTTCTGCGGGCAGCGGCCGAACAAAGCAGCAGGTGCTCACGTTAAGAGTATTTGGATAGCTAGACCGCCTGAAATGCGAGACTGCGAACTAGGCTTCCAGTGCCTGGCACCCCCGCTCTCTAGACTGTTGGGAATAGAGCTGTTGGTATTAGAATCCGCGTTCGGGAAATTTGTGGTCTGGCTGGCAGGCATTGAGTGCTCTACTGAGGAGTGCATTAGAGTCCTCGCTGACATTGTCTCCAGAAATAACACTCTAAGAAAACGGTCCTTGACCCTTGCCTACTGCTTGCAGTGACCTTGGGGGTGTCACTTAACTGGGAAACTTAAACACCCAGTCCCTTTTTGGGGGTGCGTGGGTAAGAGGATTGAAAGGGGAAATAGTTGTCTGGTTACAGAAGTATCTGGATACCTGATACTTCATTCTAAGTTTAGATACCAGTTTGGAATACTAGAAGCTGATTCGTTTTCTCGCAGCTGGCACGTTTGACCTCGTTGACAAAGACGTTTCAGCAGATTGCTCTCCAGAAGTCGTTTTCTGCTGGGAAATTGGAAATCCTTGTAGTTAATTGTCGATGCGGACTCCTGGCGATCCCGTGTGTGCAGAGCACAAGGGAGCCATAGGATTTTCCAGAGTAGGTCACCAGGAGAGGCTCCTGGGTGGGTTCAAACTGCAAACCCTTTGGCTCTACCGAGTCCAAAAATTAACAGTTTGCACCACAAAGGACTGGATGGCCCGGCTGTTGGTTCCCCCGACCCAAACACACACATACACAAAATGTATAGTTTTCAACATTGTTGTTAATGGATGTTAAATTATATATATAGCGCACCCATTAACTTTTCTTTGATGGAACGTTCTTGTCAAGTAATGGTGCCTGTGAACCTAGCCAGGGCTGAAGATTGCTAGGTAGAGAGGCACTTGGCAAACTCCACCCTGCAGCGAGGCAGTTGTTTGGTTCCGATAATTGATTTATCATGGGGCAAGGTTCCAAGCTAAACCGGAGGCAGACAGCAGTGGGAGCTAGTTTAAAATGACTGGAGGCTGCTTTGAACGCTTCTGTGTCTGCCTTTTGTCTGCTTTGCCTCCCCTGTGAGCACTCCACAGACAGGCTGTAAGGACAGTAGTGGCCTGACCTACACAGTGTCTTCTCAGAAAAGTATGTAGGAGCCCTGGTGGCATAGTGGGTTGCAAATGCTCCGACCTTTTGAGAAATCGTTTGGCATAAAGGCTATCTGCAAAACAGTTGCTTGAGATCTGAGTCCCATCTGGTAAAATAGGAAGTGTTTCTAGCTTTTGAAATCTTCCAGCTCCCCAAGCTTTGTTCCTTTAGTTTCAGGATAAACCTGAATAATGGCTGGAGGGGAAAAGATTCATTCTAGGATTTTTCCGCTGTCTTTTGTCTTGTCTGTTTCGTATCAGCTGCCACCTCATGTGCATTAAACATGTCCCAATACGGTAAGATACAAAATCTTTTTATTCCTTCACATACTTTGGACATATATCAAGAGGTGCCAGTCAGTCTCGAGAGGACATTATGCTTGGTAAACTAGAGGGGCAGCGTGAAAGAGGAAGCGCTGCAGTGAGTTGAATGGACAGCTGCAACAAAGGGCTTAAGTTAGAGTTGTGAGAGAGTGGCACAGGACTGGGCTGTGTCCCTTGTGTTGTCCATAAAGTCTCTTGCGAGTCGCGACCCACATGCCTGCTCCCAACAGCAGCAAGCTAATTGCTACCAACATCAGGTATATTAGACTACGGAAATCAAGAGAGCTGTCCGCTACGGGAGGCTGACAGAGAACAGAGAGGGATGTTTGTGGGTAAAAGTCAAGACTAGATAATGGAAAAGAGGCTAGTGAAGTGCTCAGGTAGTAAAGGGGGCCCTAGAGCAGGCAGGCAAGGAGAGGAACTCAATTTTATGTGCCTCCCAAAGGCTTGAGACCATTGGCCTACTTTTCTGAATTGAAGTGGGCTTGTCAATAATGTCAAGCAAGTGGCTTCGTCTTCCTCCAGGGACATATGCAATGATTTTTTAACTGTGTTATGCATAAGTGAATGGCCCTGAGCTGTGTCATATCTGTTAGTGCTGAATTCCCGTCTGGCTGTACGGGGCTGTATACAAAGCTGTTGCATCAGGCTCCCCAATTCAAGTAGCTTGAGATTGAAAGAGGGTTTTGTTTGTTTTGTTTTGTTTTGTTTTTTTTTGCTTGTTTGGGTTTATTTTAATAGAAATGAGCAAAATATTTTATGAAATTAGACATAGGTCATTGAATTTTAAAGAAGTTTGGGTCTGTCCAGATCACTCTGTTTTATGATTCAGAATGTGGAACTGTTTTTGCTTTCTTGGTTCTTATTATTAATGTGAGAGGTTGAATTTTTTAAGCAACTGTGAAAGGCATCTAAAATATAGATGGCCTTAATATACACAAACCTCAAGGCCTTGTTTGGTGTGTGTGATTCTTGCATTACATTAGCAGCACTGGTGGTGACATTTTGAGATCAGCCAAGTAAGTAGTGTTTGGTATTTAGCTGTGTTCTTTCACAGAGCTACCTGTTTACACAGGTAGTCTTTGTTCGAGTGAGCGGCACTGGAGGGAAATCTATTGAGGATTTTTTGAAAATGGAAAATGCCCTGTACTTTTACATGAGGTCTTTTTGAAAGGACCACTCAAATTTGTTCAGGGATCACTGGCAATGATCAGGCACTAGTGTGGTCTTGGCAGCCGGGCAGTTCCATGATAAGACTACTCTGGGAACTGCCTAGGTCCCAGTTTTTTTTCTTACACTTGATTTCCTTAATGTTATAGTTGTAACTTGGTGCCTTGGAGCTAAAGCAGAAATACGGAATCTGGGTTCTCGGGAGAAAAATGTACTTGGGTATTAATGTCCCCAATAACTCAGTCTTATTTGTGTAAATCATGTATTGGATGTATTGTCACTTGTGTCCTAAAGTCCGTTTAAAACTGCAAACGAGGAATAACTGTTTCAGATGTGTGTTAAAGGGGTAGGCCACTTTTCCTAGAAAGGGTGAGTGGAACTGGTTCAGGGTGGGGCTTCCCTGTTCTGGCCCTGGCGATTGGGTCCACAGAGTTCTGGTGCAATGGCTATGATAAGGTTTTTGTACCAGAAGGGACAGGAGATTGTGCTCCTAAGAACATGACCGGTTACTTACTGGCTCTGGTCTTTTACAGACTGGAGATTTGTTTGTTTTAGGCAGGGAACTTTTCCTATGCCAGTTGATATAATGTCTTAGGTTGCTCGGTCTGCATGTATCGCACTGCTTGCTTTTGCCCAGGTGTGCATGTTTAATGGGCTGTGCTTGAATTTGTTGTGCCTTAATGAAATGGTGGTGCTAAATAACCAAGTCGCGTGTTTTCACTTTCCAATATCTAGACACACTTGAAACCAAATAAATTGGAAAATTGGGCTATTTCCATTAATACCTATGTTTAAATCTAGCATAGGTAGGGCCCTCTTGCTAACAAGTGCATTTTGCATTGAAAAACTTGATTCTGTTCTTAAGCTTACAGAAATGAGAACAGTGTTTCTAAAACCCAGGAGCCTGTTGGGTTTCGTTTTCAGGTTTTTACTTTGGGGTCTTGTACAAATCACTTAACCTTTCTGATAATTGTCCTTGGCCTGGATTAATTATCATCTCTTTCTTTTGTCTATTCTTTGTACATCAAAGAGCTTATCCAGTCATTTGTAGGAACTGTTAATTTAATCAGAAGGATCGGAATAGCTGTCCTCTGCTAGAGAAGCTTTGAAGTATAGACCATGTTGACTTTATATTGCAGACTCTCCACCCCCCCATACTTGTCATTGTGATTCATACACAGATTTTTTTGTCCCAGTATGCCTTCATAGCTATTCTTGTCCCTCCTCACTCCCAATTCAGGATCCAGTCAGAGATCACACAAAAAAGTAGTTAGGTAAACTATAGACTATAGCAGACATAACCTAGGAATGAAAAGCCCTCATTAATCTGTTACAATGCCATCTCCTTAGATGAACTTTCTATTCTCGTGCTAGGTTCCTCTGGGTGGCAGCTCAGAATGATGGATCAAGCCAGATCAGCAATCTCCAACCTGGTATGATATATTAATGGTCTTTCTTTATCATCAGTTTGTAAGAATATGAAGCGGATGAGCATGTCTTTGGCCCTGAAACAAGCCCAAGCCCACTTGCCGTCAAGCTGATTGGTTCTAACGCATCGTAACCCTACAGGGCCCAGTAGAACTGCCCCGTTGAGTTTCCAAGATGATCAATCTTTACGGAAGCCCGGGAAGCTGTTGGGTTCCAAGTCAGACCTTTTGCCTGGCAGCCACTGGGCAGTGATAACCACTGCACCACGGGACGCTGGCCCAGTAAACATGAAATAATACCCAACGCTGTCAACAGAGAGTTATTTATTTGAAGTGGTGGTCTGAGCCATAACTGATCCTACAAAGGAAGCGTTTACTCACCCATAAACCCACAGCTGTTGAGTTGATTCTGGCTCATAGCAACCCGAGATAGGACTGCCAGGGCTTTGTCAACTGCATGGGAGCAGACAGCTTGTCTTTCTCCTTTGGAGCCGCTCAGGGGTGTGACCTGCCAACCTTGCAGTTACAGCCCAACTCTTCCCCTGGCATCGCCACCAGAGCTCCAATACTCCGTTATAGCAGGGCTAAGCACAGAAAATCTTCCAAGTCGTTTTAGGTACTTTTGAGCCTGGTAGAAGAGGGGTAGCTGCATAGACACAATGAACTAGAGAAAGCACCCATCAGAACGTCGCGTCGTGGGCATTCACGAGAGGGACTGGACTGGCGCCTGAGTTGAGGGAGGTGGTGTGTGGTCATGCTGTTCACAGGCCTGGGCGCACAGCTGAGTGTTGATTTGGGGGCGGGGGGGTAGCGTTTTCCTTCATAATGTGTACTGAGCCCTGGTAATGAATGACACAGTAGTTGACAGCTCTCTGTGTAAGACTCTCACTCCTGTCTCCCACTTCCTCAGTTTGGTGGCGAACCATCGTCGTATACCCGCTTCAGTATGGCTCGGCAAATGGACGGAGATAACAGCCTCGTGGAGATGAAACTGGCCGCAGAGGACGACGAAAGTGCCGACAACATCAGGAATCACCCTCCCAGAGCCACAAAGCCAAAAAGGTTTAGGAGTAATCTCTGCTATGGTGTTATTGCTGTAATCCTCTTCTTCTTGATCGGTAAGAATGGCCTTCTGAAACTTTTAGGAGTTCCTTGTAATAGTCTCTGGGACGTTTGATGGTCCCACTCAACGTTTATTTATTTTCACTCTTGTATAAGTGCCACTGTGGTAGGCACTAGGGTTATAATAACAGACATTCTATCCCTGCCATTTAGCATCGCCTCATGAGCAGCCTGAATGGCTTAGTGGGTTACAAGGTCAGCAGATCAAAGCCACCAGCTGTTCCTTGGAAGAAAGATGAAGCTTTCTACCCCCCATCAAGATTTACAGTCTCGGAAAGCCACAGGGGCAATTCTTGCCTATGAGTCGAAATGGACTTAATGGCAGTGGGTTTGGTTTGGGTGGGTAGAGAGATACGTATTATTTTAATTATAATGTACAGATATTACACTGCAAAATACAGAGTGTTTGTAGCACAGAAGCTTAACCTGAAGGCTCAAGGAAGGCTTCTGGGAAGAAAAGGTGGCCACCACCTAAAATGTTGCCAGAGAATGTATTAGATTGAATTGTTTAAAATATACAAAACTCTGAGGTGCCTTGTTTAAAGTCCCAACTGTTGAGCTTGAATTGAGAACTTGACTGAAAATACCAATTCCTTATAAGTGAAATTCTGTGCCTTCAGCTCTGGAACTCTTTTGTCTTTAGGATTTATGATTGGCTACTTGGGCTATTGTAAACGTGGAGAGCCAGTAGCTAACTGCGGAGGAGTGTCAGTAGGAGTGACCACGGACCCGGATGAGTCACAGGCCTCGGACACATTTGAGCTACCTGCCCTACCTTCTCACTTGTTTTGGGGAGATCTCAAGAAACTTTTGTCCCAGAAACTGGACCATACGGAGTTCACCAGCACCATCGAGTAAGCTTGAGATCCATCCCCAAGGCTAGCCTCAACATCTAAGCAAACGCTTACTGATAAAGATGCGGTGAAACAGAACGAGGGTTACAATCGGAAAGAAAGACCTTTAGAGTAAGAAGGGCATGGGTGGGCCCTGCTCAGCCAGAGGGCTAGTGGTCAGCAGCGAATCGAAACTATGCTGAAAGATTGCTTTTTCACAAGTTCCCAGGTGCTTGCTCTTTTTGCTGCCTGGTCTGGTCAGGCTGTTCTGCTCGGATTTTCCATCCTAATTCCTTGAACTAGCCACCAGGTCAGCCTCCAGCTCATGGACTTGACTGCCCAACTTGTTACATCTCTAGTAGTCCCTATCTAAAAGGCTGCTGTCCTGAGATGCGTATTTTCTTCCTTGAGACACACCTCTGTGCAGAGAGCACATTCATCTCTTTCCTTCCACGGGCTTTCTGCAGAAACTTGGACCAATTTGACTCATCCGGTGTAGCAGGCATTGTGGATTTAAAGTGAGTGTGGCCAGCCAAAAACGGATCAAGTAATTCATATGTTGGGTGTATTTACACAGAATCAGGGAGCTCAGACCAAGGAGCATTTCTACTGCCAAAAGTTTCCCAATGCTTCAAAGATGCAAGTTGACGCTTTCTATCTTGAGTTTACTAAACTAATTACTGCCTGACTTTTTGTCTACCAAAAAAAAACCATGCACTCAAAAACCACTCACTTTCCCTAAAATTACTCTAAACAGATAGTAATACAATATGTCCTAATTACAGCTGCTACGGTGCATCTTAGTGCGCGCAGAATGCATGTTCTGGAATGCTTTGAAGTGGATAAAGATTTTAGAATAAGTTTTGCACTCATACAACAATTTCAGATATTGCAAGTTTTCTCTATCTGGTCCATCCAGAAGTTGGGCCACAGCTAATTAATCTGAAATATGAGAGATAAACCTGAAACTGAGTTAAGGTCTTTTTTTTAAAAATTGCTTGATCCTCGAGTTAAATGCATATTTTAGATTAATCCTTGGTTCATTTGATTCACAGTGATCTTTATTTTCCTTCCAGACAACTGAACTCCTATAACCCTCGTGAAGCGGGATCTCTAAAGGAGGAAAGCCTCGCACTTTATATGGAAAGGAAATTCCAGGACTTTCAGTTCAGCAAAGTCTGGCGGGATGAACATTACGTTAAGATTCAAGTTAAAAACAGGTATGTTGGAAGGTGGTAAACTTAGCGTAGAAGTAGTGTGAAGTAGAATAAAGACGGCCAAAGTAAAAAGCATGGCCCAAATTGTGAGTTAAATTTCCTGATGCCAATCGTGCGAATGAAATGCTAAATGTATGATAGCCATTTAATTCTTTCTAAGAGGATCATAGCTTCATTTTAATCCCCCCTCCCCCCCCCTTCTTTTTTTACAGCATTGCCTCAAACGTGGTGAGCATTGTAAATGGGACGGGGACCACACTCTCCGTGGTGGAGAACCCTCAGGGTTACGTGGCGTATAGCAAGGCTGCAACAGTTATTGTAAGTGCAGGTGGTTCTTTGTCCTTCCTGTTGAACAACTAGTGAACCACTGATTTTACCGTGTGGCTTAGTCACCTAGTGGTGTCATAACCGAAGTAGCACAAATGGGTATCCCTAGCAAACAGAAATCGGTTTTTCATAATAATTAGGAAACTAGAAGCCCAAAATCAGGGGGCTGGCCCTCGGGGGAAGGCTTCCTCTGTCTCTCAACTCCGACGGGGAGTCCCTCCCTGTGACGTCGTTTGTGGGGCTCAGATGTGATTGTGGCTCTCATGGCTAGTCCAGACTATTATATCGGTGCGTGTCACTGTTTGACGCATCCCGTACCTTTTCTTTCCTCCCCCAAAATCTGTAAAATTCCTTTTAGTTTAAAGAGCATGGAATAATGAAAGAAAGGAACTAAGAGCCCAGAAACCATGATTTCATGCCCAGTAGTAACCCTGGCCCGATTTGACTTGAGAACTCTCATGTTCCTCCCTGGGCTTTGGCTCCTGTTTTTGTTTGTTTTCTCACAGCTTTAATTTGTAAAGACCCCCTTTTGTCTGGGATTCTGTGATGAATAGTTTACTGTTATGTTTATCAAATGTCTTTGTTCTAGGGCAAACTTGTCCATGCAAATTTTGGCCTGAAAGAAGACTTCGAGGCCCTCGGCCCTCTTGAGAATGACTCCTTAGTGATCGTTAGGGCAGGGAAAATCCCTTTTGCCGAAAAGGTGAGTGTGGGTCATTACATGCATTGGCTTCATAGCGTTAGTTAAATGTCATTTATTATTTGTCCTGCGTGTTGAGTAACAGCGGTTCTGAACTCTGCTTTGCGGTAGCTCAATTCCAGCACGTTCTAATTGTCTTACATGAAGACATCCAAACGGTGGCTTGTCCACCTTGTGCAGCCACTGTCTTCCCGTGAAAATCATCAGAAACATTTAAGAGAACGGCTTAAATTGGGTTTATGTAACTTGAATTTCATGTGACGGAAGTACCCTTGAGTGGCTTCTGACTCCTGGCTGCCTTCAGGACATCGTAGAGCGACCTCCGAAGCAGACCGGTGCATCGTCCTTCTTGGCAGTCACCCAGGGGGTGGTTTCAAGGGGCTATCTTTGGGTTTTTTAAACCGCCATATATATGCGATTTGAAAGTGTCTGTCTGGGCCTTCACCGTGGCAAGTGTGACCATTGGCTCCGTGGCAGAAAGTCCAGTTTGCATGCTTTGCACGTTTTCACATCCGTTCTTCATTTTCTGAGCTCTCTTTTTCTTCAGGTTGCAAATGCTGAACGCTTTAATGCGATTGGAGTCTTGATTTACTTGGACTTCGCCGACGTGGACATCGCTGAAGCAAAACTATCAGTCTTTGGACATGTGAGTTCTTCTTGATTAAATGAGTTTTGGGGGTTTTCCAAATTTTAGAAAGGAAATTCCAATTTTCTTTCTAAAATACCTCTGCCCCTAAGAGTTTTAACAGGAAACAGGTAAAATGGATTCAATGCCTGTGAAATACTTACTGTTTAAGTACTTCCGAGAATCAATAGAATCTGGGATAAACAATTTGGAGAAGAAAATGACAGAACTGGGATGGGGAGAGAAGGGTGGTGCCAACAAACCCAGGGACAAGGGAACAAGTGGTTGAAAATCGATGGCGAGGAGGGTGTGGGATGCCTGGTGGGGCTTGATCCAAGGGCAATGTAGCCAAGAAGAATTACCGAAACTCGAATGAAGGCTGAACATGATAGTGGGACAAGAGAAAAGTAAAAGGAAATAGAGAAAAGAACTAGGAAGCAAAGGACATTTACAGAGGTCGAAATACAGGCATATACATATGGGACTGTATATATAATAATAGGGAAGTAGATCTATGTACATATATTTATATGTTATATATTAATGTGTTAGACGGACCTTGAGTACTCAAGTACTCCCTCAGTGCAAGAACACTTTGTTCTAATAACCCGGCATTCCGTAATGCTTACCTTCCCGACACAATAACTGAAGACAAAATGGGTGCATAAGCAAATGTAGTAAAGAAAGCTGATGGTGCCCGGCTATCAAAAGGTATAGCGTCTGGGGTCCAAAAGGCTTAAAACAAGCAGCCATCTAGCTGAGAAGCAACAAAGCCCACATGGAAGAAGCACACCAACCTGTGTAATCTATGAAGTGTCAATGGGATCAGGTACCAGGCATCAAAGACCCAAAACAAAAAATCATATTGATGTGAATGGGAGGGGGGTGGGAGCAGAGTAAAGACCCAAAGCCCATTTGTAGACAATTGGACATCCCCTCACAGAAGGGTCACAAGGGAGAGATGAACCAGTCAGCGTGCAGTGTAGCAACGATGAAACATACAACTTTTCTCTAGTTCTTTAATGCTTCCTCCCCACCACTATCATGACCCCAATTCTACCTTACAAATCCAGCTAGACCGGAGCATGTACATGGGTACAGATAAGAGCTGGAAACACAGAGAATCCAGGACAGATAAACACCTCAGAGCAGCGAAACCAGGAGGGTAAGGGGAAGGTGGGAGAAAGAAGACCAATTAACAATGATCAACATATAACCCCCTCCCACTAAAAAAGTGGGTGAAGGGATATAGTGGTCGGTGTGAGATATGAAAAAAAATGATTTATAAATTACTAAGGGTTCATGAGGAAGGGGAGGATGAGCTGATACCAAGGGCTCAAGCAGAAAGAAAATGTTTTGAAAATGTTTGAAAAGCAACATATATACAAATGTTCTTGACACAATGGATATATTCATAAGAACTGTAAGAGCCCCCAACAAAATTATTTTTTAAGTTTAACTTAAAATTTTGGGGGGAAATTAATGGAATCATGAATTGAGAATGTGATATATATAAAAGCTGTGTAGAGCCTTTCAAACTTTCAGGCTTTTGTAAGGTGCGGAACAAATCTTAGGCCAAGCTTGGCCTCACATGAGGGGGCTTTAAGAATTTGTGGAGAAATTCCTTCTTCATCCCCTTTTTACATGGACTTTCTGAAGCTTCTTCACCCTGAGTTGACTGTTATTGGGAAGTTCCTGAGTAAGTACCTAACAGCTAATTACCCTCTTGTTTTTAATAGGCTCATCTGGGAACAGGAGACCCGTACACACCTGGCTTCCCTTCCTTCAACCACACTCAGTTCCCACCATCTCAGTCATCAGGATTGCCTGGTATACCTGTGCAAACGATTTCCAGATTCGCTGCAGAACAGCTGTTTAAGTAAGTGCTGATTTAAATTGACTTGTAGGGGAAGTTCTGTGATCAGGGTAGAATAATAAACTGCTTCAGTTGATAAAATGCTGTGAAAACCATTTCCCTCATTTCAAAACTAGAGTTTGCTGTTGTTAATCTGGGATAGCTAAAAATTAAAACAAACTCCCCCACCCCTGCCCAAATGGGTTTGAGTCGGTGCTGGGTTTTTCCAGCGAACTCCGGCACAGAATGTCGGCGTTAATCATCTAGTCAGCTCCTCGCATGCTGTGAGCCAGCTGTGAGGCGCTCAGCCTTTTCTCTATTGACGCAATACTGATAAACGCTAAGGAAAAAACGTTTCACATGATTAGCGCAGTGATCATTGTTGTGGTTGTGAATGAACACTGCCGTTTACCTCATGTCTGAATGTTGCATAGCTCTTTGGGGGTGTATATTGCCTTTGTGTATTTATGCTTTGCTTCGTTGTAACCTCTCATTAGGGAATGGGTTTGCATTAAACACAAACTGAATAAAAATAAGAAGCAGTCCAATGTCGGGGAAGCATAGCTATGCCTCTGGCACATAGGAGATGCGTGAAGGATTCGTTTTCAGAACCACCAGTTAATCTGGGAAGTCACTCGGGGTTTTCATACGACTGTTCAGACCAGCATAAGGCTCAGGTGGTTGACCTCTAGGACATCAACTTATGTACATGCTCTCTGACCCCGCAGCAAACTCTACCTGCAGGCTAGGACAGGTTTTATTGACTGCGAGAGTAAGTCTGCCTGCTGTTTTCTAGTTCTGAAAATATGGAACAAGACTGCCCTTCTGAGTGGAAAGCAGATTCTGCATGTAAGAGAAAGTCCCGGCCAGACAGGAACGTGAAGCTCACAGTGAACAATGTGCTGAAAGAAACAAAAATTTTGAACATCTTTGGAGTAATCAAAGGCATTGAGGAGCCAGGTAAAAAGCCAGTGTTTTGTTTTGTTTCTGCTTTGTCTTCCTTCCTGTGGCCCGAGAAGGAGGGCGTGGGGAGTACATGGAGTCTTGGTTTCATGACAGCCTGTCTGCTGTATTGAATTGGTTCGGTGTTGATTTTATGGGGGAGGTAATCACCTCCTTTGAGTCAATTCTGACTCAGCTACCCGACTGGATAGAGTGGAACTGCTCCCAGGATTCAGAGGCTGGAATTCTCTACAGGAGCAGTTATTGGTCTCACCTGCTGACTGGGGGTAGCACCCCAATGTGTGACTCACTACACCGTCAGAGCCCCTAAGAGACAGGGCCACAGCAAATAGATGTACTAAATGTTGATCATTATCACTAGACGATCTATTTTTAAGTTGATTGAATTGATCAGCAGTAAGCAAGCTTTTGAACGGAATGGTCTCCCATATTGCAGTGTGAAAGCAGCCGTAGACTGTGGATCTAGACTTCAGTATTAGAAAAATGATACAATGGGCTTTCATTATTTATCTTTTTTTCTTCTTATTCAAAGACCGTTATGTGGTCATCGGGGCCCAGAGAGATGCCTGGGGTCCTGGCGCTGCGAAATCCAGTGTAGGATCGGCTCTTCTGTTGGAACTTGCACGGATTATATCAGAGATGGTCATAAAAGGTATTGTCTCCATTTGGATGGCTTGAGTTTCTTTATGCACAGTTCTAGATCTTCTCATACACGTCGCTCACTTTTGCCAGTTATCTTTAGAGCTAGACCCTTACTTAAAATACAAAGCAGGTTCTTATCTACATGAACAATTCCGTGACACTGACTGCATTCAAGCAGTATTTCCATTCCTATCCCTTCTTTCCAGTCACTGCTGTCAGTTTGATCCCGTATAAACACCTCCACGCTCAGACCTTTTGCTACTAGTGAAACCAAACCCATATGTGGTTTTAAGATAGCTTCGGGGCATTTTTGGTTTAAGGTTTAAAATGACCTCAGGGCAATAGCTTCAGGGGTTCATTAAGCCTACAGGATTCTGTTCCTTTGCCCCACATGATGATCAGTCTTTATAGACTGATCAGAACATCCTGTAAAGGTAGCCAGGTACCCTCCAGTTCTGGTCTCATGGAAAAGGAACAGGGTCGTTGTGGAAGCATTCGTTAGCCACACGCTTCATTTTCAGGAGGAGGAGGGAATTTTTTTTTAATCTGCCATTTTGTAGAAGAAGCCTCTGGTGTGTCTTGAGTCCGTTGCCTCCCTGCCTGTAAACCTTTGCAAGTAAAACCAGCTTTCTGTCCTTTCAGATGGGTTTAAACCCAGCAGAAGCATTGTCTTTGCCAGCTGGAGTGCTGGGGAATTTGGAGCTGTCGGTGCCACTGAATGGCTCGAGGTATTGTTTCTACATCATCCATACCCAGAGTGGGCACCTGAACTTGTGTTGACTTAATCCTCTTTTCGATGGGCTGACACCATTCTTACCCGTTTGTTGTTTCTTTTCCTGCTTCTCCTCTAGGGATACTTGTCGAACCTGCATTTGAAGGCTGTCACTTACATCAATCTGGACAAAGCCGTTGTTGGTAACTATCCTTTTCACTAGTTCACGTTCATTCAGCCCCCCAGCCCAAACCTTTGGAATCAGAATGTCTGGGCTTGGGTCTAGCAAACTTAGCAAGTACTCTCAGGGAATTCCGATGCACAGAAACTTGAGAGCTCTGCTCGAGGTTTCCAGAGACGGAGTCACAGCCTGCCAGATCGTGGCATCGCTAGAAAAACAAATGATCCAACTTCTAAAGGAGTTTGACTGTTACTAAGAGTGCAGCTGCAGCCAGTGAGCGAACCGAGAACAGATAGGGGAATGTCTATATTGGAAAGAAAAGGGAGGGCGTTCAACCAAATTCTTGCTAGATTAGTCCGATAGATCTATGCAGCAGGGTGCTGACTAGCAAGCTTGCTGTAACTAGCAGGTGACTGCCCTCGCCTGGGTGACCCAGTAAAGTACCCCGAAATGACATATTAAATGCGTTGAAGTGTAGACCGCTTCAAAATAGGGTTTCAGTTGAGTCAAAGTTAGGATGAACCTGGTGACTAAAGAACTTGAATCTTGGATCACTTTGTCTTATTGGTGAGCTTTGTGGTATTGACCATTCGCCCAGGTTACCATTTCCTGTTCACCAGAGGGTATCAGTAGCACTCAAAAACGCCCCGCCACGGAGCCAATTCCCACTCACAGGGAGCAAGAGGGCGACCCTACGGCCTAGCACAGAACTAGGCGCCTCCAAGACTGAATGTTCAGGAGTAGAAAGCCACCTTTTTCTCCCAACAAGAGTTTCTGGGGAAATGGCAGTGAGGATGATGGCATTTCCCCACAAACTGAAGGCTCCTGGTAGAAGAAGTAGCCAGGTCAAGGTTGCATCGCTGGACATCGTTTCTTTGTAGGTACCAACAACTTCAAGGTTTTGGCCAGCCCGCTGCTGTACTCCCTTATTGAGAAAACGATGCAAGATGTGAGTACCGATCTAATTACACAAGTGTATGACTTAGTTTTTGCCTACACTTCACACAAACGACACGAGATGGAAACTGCTGTTGTTAGAGCCATTCTCAGCAGCCAAGGACAGAGTTTAAGTGAATGTTTTAAACAGTGCTATGTGCAGCTGATGCCTGACAAGGACCCCAGCTTGTTAAACGGTGTGTCATGAGGAGTGATCTGTGCGCAGTCTGCTCGGAACTATAGAACATCCTGGCGATCTCTGAGTTGCCTGGTAGTGCCTGCAGGCAGTGGTCTGTAGATACAGAGTGTTCTGGAAAACAAGTGGACGTCAGACAGAACTGTGTTGGCAGATTAGCAGGAAGATATCAGAACCAGACATGTCGTGAGGGCTGAAGAGAAGTGTTTGAAGGGTGGTTAAGCCAATATGATAATGTCAGACAAGCAGGAAAGTATCCGTTACGCTCCTCCACCAGATTTGAACTTAGTTAAGAGCCTAGTAGGAATAGCATGGAAAAACTGATTTTTGTTCTGTCTTAATCCTTTTTCGAGATGGCGATAGTAAAAAATGTAATATTTTCTTTAAATGTGTTCATACAGAGAGCCGTGATCGTGAAGTAACAATCAGGCTAGTTTTAATGGTGAATTAATTTCTTACTTTCCAGGTGAAACACCCACTTACAGGGCGCCTTCTTTATCGGGACAGCAACTGGGCCAACAAAGTGTAAGTTGCTAACCTGGCAGTGAGCGTCCCTCCATCGGTCGGACCCATTCTCATTCATAGCGACCCCTTTATAGGGTATCCAAGACTATCGGGCTTTATGGGAACAGATGGTCTCGCTTTCCTCTTGAGGCACAGCCAGTGGGTTCGATCCGGAGACCTTGCAGCTAGCAGCCCAAGGAATAACCCACTGTGCCCCAAGGCTCTTCCCCCTCTGTATGGAGAGGTTTAATGTAAGAGTTGATTTGGCAGCATGGAGAAGGCTGCGTGGAGATCCCCACCTGTCCTTTAGAAAAATTCCAAAAGGTCCGTTCTTGGTTTCCTTTCAGTGAGCCGTTTTCCTTGGATAATGCTGCTTATCCTTTCTTGGCATATTCTGGAATCCCAGCAGTTTCCTTCTGTTTTTGTGAGGTAAGTATGGACTCTTATCTGTTAGTCTGATCAATGCTGAAGCCCAGTTTCATAGAAGACTTAGAAAGTTGTAGGATGCTATGCACATGCAGGTCTTGAGTTGCCCTGTTAGTCATAACATAACATTGAATCTCAATGAGCTTAATTACCATATAGATTTCTTGCTGAAACCTCTTAAATATGTTTTTCAGTATTAAGGCTTCCTTCCTTGAATGATAGCATAGTTACCAGCTACCAGGCAGCGTAGGTGTCGGTCACAATGAAGTCACGTTCTGGATACTTGTTGAATGATGGTTCTAGACATGAGTCTAGAAGCAGGGATTATGGGTACAGCAGAGAAAAAAGCAAACAGATGTAGGGCTGTCATGATACAGAACTCTGAACTGTCAAAGGTTTAGCAACACATGACTGGTTTGAGCCAGTTAGAAAGCCAGGCAGAGTAAATAGATAATGGATGAAGGTTCTGTGGGGAACTAGCCTTGTGGTGGGATCTTCGGAGGGGCACAGAGAACTTAGCGCTCACAGAGGGGTGGGGAGTTGGGGGTGGAATGTGTTAACTTTATGAGTTGAGTCTTTAGAGACCAGGTCTTTATTGGCCTTTAAACCCTCACTGGGTTTCTTAGTCCAGCACTAGGAGTGGGAAAGTCCAGAGTGAGGGAGTCATGACAGATGAACTCAGATTAAGTCAGACCTGGAGTGAGGGAATCATGCCAGACCTGGAGTCAGATTAACCTGGCTGCTGAAAGAGTTGGCCATGGTATCTGTTTGGTACATAGAGGGAGAGCATAGGTGCCTGGTCATAGGGTGGAACAAGTCATCTGAACATTTCTGTAGACCTGCAAAGGGGGAATCTTTAAGACAACTTCCCAAAAAAGTCGAAGGTACGGCGCTGCACGTTCAGTTATAGATAATAGAAATGTTGACCGTGGTAGGAAATACAGTTGAAGACTATTCTTGTGTGCACCAAGCAACCTTGTTAGGAAAACATGCATGGATGGACTGGGTTGCATGATGAGGGTAAATTTAATTCTGAAGAAACCACTTTTGAAGGTGTATTTCTTACACTTTTCATTATGTGGACCGTGTTTCCGGAGAGAAGATAAAAAGGAATACAGGGTGTCTGCTCAGCCTATTGTTGGTCAGAACGGAGATCACATGAGATCTAGAAGAAAGCAGTGGATCTACTAGTAAGCGTTAGATGGAGGGCGAGTAGCAAGAGTGCTGTTTTCTTACAGCGGTGGATGGAGGTGGGATAGGAATCTACTAGAAGGAAGGGTTGTGTTACTCTCGACCTTGATGCACTATTACGACCACTGTGAGCACAATAGCCCCGCTTTGTCTTCCAGGACCAAGAGTACCCTTTTCTGGGTACTTCAGGTGATACCTATAAAGAGCTGATTGAGAGAGTTCCTCAGTTGAACAAAATGGCACGTGCAGCTGCAGAAGTCGCTGGTCAGCTTGTGATTAAGCTTACACTTGACCTGGAGTTGAACCTGGACTATGAGCGGTATAACGACAAATTGCTTTCCTTTTTGAGAGATATCAACCAATATAGGACAGACATAAAGGTGAGCAATAAGTCAAGCTGGGTTCTTACTGCTGACGAGCAGCCCTTCGAGGTGTGATGTTTTTGCTTCTGAAGAGCGACAGGATTCGAAGCCCGCCTTCCGTTTGTAATTTGGGGGAAAGTTTGCAGCACACATTGGTTCTCCATTCAACATTTCGTGTCATGCCATTGCTTGCCGTCCTTCCCACGTCTTCCCTGGGTTGGTTTTTCCATTGGTCCTTCTTTGCGCACCCCTGTGGGTGCTGGCTCCAAGGGGGTCGCTGAGGTCATTGACCTTAGAAGCCTCTCTGCGGTTCCTTTCCAGGCTCGGAAGGGTGACTTGGGGGCCATAGCATGAGGAGTTTCACCAGGCTCTATTAGACCAGTGAGCTTGATCGTCTTCTGTTGTTTACTGCCTGAATGTGCGTTCTGTTCGTTTTTCTCCCACCGGTCTATTGAGATGAATAATAATCGCATCTCAATGAGGGTGGCTTTCTCAACAACTTCAAATGAATTGTAATTGCCCAAAACACTGAACTCCGCCGAGAAAAAGCATGAACTTTCTTAGATCAACATGTTTATCCCCAGGGGGACATGGAACTAGAGACATGTACTACTGAAGGGTTACATCCTTTCACTAGCTTCCGGGACATTCATCCTGGTTCTCTTGGCGGGCAAGAGTAGATCGTTGTTCTATCCACTGGACTCAAAAATGAATGTGCGATCTCAAGCCCACTGAGCTTGAAATCTCTTGTAGAAGAGTCTTGGGGGGGTGGCGAGTCCCCTCCTTAGCTGCCTCCCCTAGATTAGAAACAGCACCTGTGTCTCTGCTGCAGGAGATGGGCCTGAGTCTCCAGTGGCTGTACTCTGCGCGTGGAGACTTCTTCCGTTCTACATCCAGGCTCACAACGGATCTCAGGAACGTTGAGAAAGCGAACAGATTTATCATGCGGGAAATGAATGATCGAATCATGAAAGTAAGTCAGCTTTCAGATGCTACTTTTAAATGGTGAGTCCCTTGTTTCTAAAAGGTAGACTAACTCCAGGAACCTGGACTGCTTTAGAATTCAACACAGGTGTTAAGGCTTCATAGGCTCTGTAACCAACAGATCTAAGCCAGAAAAACATTGAACTTATATTGATTTTTTTTTTTAACCTCAAGAAACTATTTTATTAGCTACCGTTTCACCATGTTTTTTTACCTATTTGTTCCTTGAGGCCTTAACTACTTGATCCTAGTTTGTTTGCTTAGAAAAAGCAGAAGACTGTTAAACAGTGGAAACTTAGAAATACACCCCACCCCACCCCACCCAAATCCATTGTAATTAAAGATCGCTGTTTCAAAGGAATTGGAGCTTTGTGTTAAAATGACAAGCTTAGAAAATTGGGAGTCTGTTTCTTACCATTCTTAAGTGTGGGGAAAGGTAATGGGTGATGTGAGGGAGTGACAGTGAGTTGCCTTAGTATAATCGGTCCCGTCCGCCAGCAGCAGCCCAGCCCCACCCCACATGAGCCGCCTTGTGTGCTTGGTTTCCCTAGGTGGAGTATCACTTCCTCTCGCCCTATGTGTCTGCAAAGGAGTCTCCCTTCCGACACATCTTCTGGGGCTCTGGCTCCCACACTCTGCAGGCCTTACTGGACACCTTGAAGTTGCGTCAGAAGAACAGAAATGCTTTCAATGAAACGCTGCTGAGAAACCAGTTAGCTCTTGCTACTTGGACCATCCAGGGTGCTGCAAATGTTCTCGCCAGAGACATCTGGGAGATTGACAATGCGTTTTAGAATCGATCGTCTGTGACTTATAGAAGAGCAAGGCGGTCTGGCTCCTAGACTTGTGCTGGTTACACAGAATGTTCAATAGGGCTACAAAACTATTGTCAAAATGCTACCCCATCACTTTGGTACTGCTAGATACCTCTAGTTGGCCCCTTTTAATGCACTTCAAGTGAGAGTGAGTAAACACTCGTAAAATGTTCATGGTAGAATATTATGTCTAGAGTTTAATTTGTATTGGTAACTGTCTCTTTCCTTACAGTTAGAGAAATGTCATACCTTAAGGTCAGGATCTGGTATCTTTGGAGGCGGAAAGAGGGTCACTGCTGCAGGTTCCGCATGGGAGCTTACGATGATCCTCCTCCACCTTCATTGGATACCAGAGAGGTGACAACAAATGAGCTAGATGCTTCCCTGTCAGGACCTATCTGGTTTCCACACCCCTGAATGAAACCGTTAACTGTCAGAAGAATTGAGCTTCTTCTTTTTTTTTTTTTTTGCCAGCAGGCTGTGAAAAAGAGGCTCTTCCGCTGAGTAAAATGGGGTTCAACTGTTCATCACGGGAGGGAGGCCTGTGTGCGTTCATTTCAAACTTATCAAGAGTCCAGAAGCCAAAAAACGCAGGCTGTGTCCTCTTCTTCTGTCCCTAGTCCCATAAGCTGTGACTTTAGATTTTCGTTTCTGTTGTCATCCCCCCCCCAAGAGTATTTTGAAAGAGAAACCAGTGGTGTTTGATTCAGACTCAGTTTGTCAAGCTTCAAAGAACACACTGCCAAATGTTGGCCAAAGTGTTAATCTTGTGGAAAAGCTTTTTTATCATTTCAGCACTGAGATATTTATTGTTTATTTATCAGTGACAGAGTTCACTATAAATGGTGTTTTTTTTATAGAAGATAATTATCGGAAGCAGTGCCTTCCATAATTATGACAGTTATACTGTCGTTTGTTTTTTTAAAACTTAAAAGCAGCATCTGCTAACAATACCCAACAGATACTGGAAGTTTTGCACTGATGGTCAACGCTCGAGGGGGTTAGAAAATGGCCGCAGCACTTGGGGGAGGGTTAAACTGGGCTGCTAATCAAGCGAGACCTTTACCTGGCTGACCGAAGCACTTGCTAGAAGTGCAGCGAGCCGAGACGTCGAGGCTGTGGGAGAGCTCTCCACGTGCAGAATATGATGCTCCGTTTGTCTGAGGTGCAACTTCCAATGTTGCAAAATTTCCAGTACCTCTTGTCACAAACCTAAGGCACATTATCGGAAGCAGTGTCTTCCATAATGTATAAAGAACAAGGTAGTTTTTGCCTACCACGGTGTCTAAATCGGAGACAGTGATCTCCATATGCTACACTAAGGGTGTATGTAATTATCGGGAACAGTGTTTCCCATAATTTTCTTCATGCAATGACATCTCCAAAGCTTGAAGATCGTTAGTATCTAACATGTATTCCCAGCTCCCTGGAATTCTGTCTCTTAGTTTTAGTCGTGGGAATCCTTTGTGGTCATGATAGCACTTGGGCACCTAACAAGCCACTGCAGAATTCAATTCCTTCAGGAGCTCTCTCTCCTTTCTTTAAACCTGATGTGGGTGTTTTGTTTTATACTTGTGGTTTTCTGTGTGGCAGGGATAGTAGCATACATTTACATTGTTTTGCCGTTGACAAATTGAACTTACCCCTTATTTGCATGTACCTCCTATAAACTTAGTTCAGACAGCCAAGTCTGAAATCAGAGTTGGCCTAAAGCAAGATTTGGAGCAGGGCAAGAAGACCGACCGGTGGCCAAATTGACAACAGGCTCTTTGGTCATGTCTGCTTGTCCATTAGGACATGGTTGAAAGTTAATGGAAGAGAGGAAGAAATGTTTGAGGCAACATGAGTCAAGACTTCATTGTCTAGCTTTCCGTCACGGTGGATAAACAGCTGTTTACTAGAGAGCAGTTCAAAGCTGCCACCTGAGGAAAAGTCGATAGGGTCGCTTAGGGTTACCCACGTTCAGATAGATTCTAGATGATTCCAGCCTTTGGCTGAATCACGACACTTTCACGTGTCTATTTCATCTACACAGTGTTTCATCTTGAAAGTGTGGTGTAGCTAGGTGACGAGGTCCAAACTGGGACCCCTGGGTTTCTGGGAGTGTCGCGCACATACTGTGGGAGCTCAGTGACTTCAAGCATAGGTGAAAATAATGCATCTCTTATACAACAGTGAGTTTCCCCAAGCACCGCCCCCTTTCTGATAGGCTTGAGTTACCGCTAATCACGCAAGCCAGTGAGGGATTAGATGCTTAATATCCCTGCATGAAGTGTCTGAGTAGTGGCAACCTGCTAGCGTTCCTGCTAAAGATATTATGTGCATTTTAAAGGTAAAGAATTGTCTGTTCATGACTCGCCATGCAAGCACTTGTGTGACCATGATTGTTCATTGTTTGTTCTTTGAATGTTGTAAAACTTTTATTTAGCTGGCTAAAGATGACTTATTACACTTGCCAGCCTCCTGCTCATCTGTCTTCATAAACAAGCAATGATGCCCTTTAACATGTACATGAGCTGGTATGTGCCGCAATGTGGAGATTCCTTTATCTGGCTGAATAAAATGCTTGAGTCCTGAGTTGTTGGTTTTTGTTTTTGTCTGTGCCCCGGCTCGTCCCCTGTCAGAATATGTGTGCCTTAAGGAAACCAGTTTCCCTTCAGGACCAGTGGTGTGAGTGGTGATACTGGGAGCGCAGAGGGATGGTGGGTTGGAAAGGGGGAACCGATTACAAGGATCTAAAGGTGACCTCCACCCTGGGGGACGGACAATGGGTGGGTGAAGGGAGACATCGGACAGGGGCAAGATATGTCAAAATAATAATTTATAAATTATCAAGTGTTCATGGGGGAGGGGGCTGAAATGACCTGATGCCAGGGGTTTGAGTGGAGAGTGGATGTTTTGAGAATGATGAAGGCAGTGAATGTACAAATGTGCTTTACTCAATTGATGTGTGTATGGATTGGGATGAGTTGTATGAGCCCCTAATTAAACGATTTAAAAGAAGGAAACCAGTCACTACCATCAAGTCCATTGCTCCCGCCCGGATAGGATGGTGGAACTGCCCCTGTGGGGCCGGGTCTCTGCCAGAGTAGAAAGCCTCATCTCTGTTCCGTGGAGCGCATGGTGATTTCAAACTGCTGCTGACCTTGGGGTTAGCAGCTCAACAGGTAATCTGTGGTACTACCCGGCAGGGCATTCGGTCACTATATCCCGTAGGAGAAAGTGCCCATGTCAGTGTTTCCCACGGTGGGTAGTACTGCTCTTGGGGTGTCGGAGTGATCCAGGGGGGATGCAAAAGCAAACACCACTTTATGGGCTACAGTGCAAATGGTTTTAATTGCCTGGGGGTGGGTACTGAGTAATCACTCCCACCCCTCCAAAAAAAGATGGTTGACCAAATAAGTTTGGGAGCCTATAGTCTGTGAAAGTTGGGGTATAAAGCCGCCCTAAAAATGAAGGCATCTGGTTATATGCAAGATACTTGGACTTGAAATTCAGTACTTGTGACTTGTGGCCATCAACAGATTTACCCATAAGTGGTTGTGCCTTTGCTGTTCATCAGCCCTGTCAAGCTTCATCTCCTTTAGATGGGCTGCCCAGTTGACTAATGCCCTTTTAAAAAATGCAGATGGCTAAAGTGTAGAGAGGATCTGTATTGAAAAGGATGTTTTTCTTAGGCCCAACAGGGTCCTTCCCCCTGAATACCCGCTATGGGCAATTTCTTAGATACTACCAGTCTGCATAAGCAAGAGGAGCCGGGAGACCTCAGGAAACTGGCGATAAAAAGAGCTCACCCAACTTAGGCTCCTCTAAACCCTCCCGCCCACTGCTTATACCTAGGAACTGACCGCGGAGGAAAAACAACCTGGACAAATGACTAGGAAAAGTTGGCAAGAACAAATAAAGGTACTAACAAAACTGAAACTGTTCAATGGTGCAGTTAATGCCAACTATAGCTATTAACATTGACATTCCATGCAAAGGCTGGCAGCGGGGAAAAGACCCATTTGTTGCCTACAAGGAACAGTTTAGAGATACTTCCTGGCAGGGGACATACCGTGATCACGAAGGTGGCTGTCCCAGGGCGAGGCTTATCCACTGCGCTCCGGACGTGCTGACCCCTGCGATTTCCCCAAATGTGGGAAACTCGACTGCATAATTTGTGGTAGTGGGGGACTGCGTTCGCGCTCTCCTCTGTAAAAAAACACGAGTTAAAAGTCAAATCAAAATCCCTGCAGACTAGGCTGGCTCTTTAGGTATCACAGCTTCAAGACGAGCTAATACTCAAAGACACATTTTATTATGATAATCTAAGAACAATTCATCCTGGAGGTAAGGACCTTAAATATAGGAATAGAAAGTATACAGAGTACAAGGGAAAAAAGAATCTTCCTAGATTTTGTCAGACAGTGACTTAAAATCCAACAACCACTGCAGCAGTACACTGACAGGGAGCTGCCAGCGGTTCAGGCCAGATTCCGAAGAGGATGTGGAACAAATATCACTGCTGATTTCAAAAGGATCTTGGCTCAAAGCCGAGACTACCAGAAAGATGTCTGTATGTCTTGATTATGCAAAGGCACTCAATTGTGGGCCATAATAAACTGGGTAACCTTAAGAAGACTGGGAATCCTAGAACTCTTTGTTGTACTCCTGGGGAACTTGTACATGGACCAAGAGGTAGTTGTCCAAATGGAACAAGGGAACGCTGCATGATTTAAAATAAGGTGTGCATCGGGGTTGTATCCTCTCGCCATACTTGTTCAATCTGTATGCTGAGGAAATCATCAGAAAACCTGGCCTAATGAAGAAGGTGGCATCAGGATCGGAGGAAGGCTTATTAACAACCTGAGTAGGTAGATGGCATAACCTTGCTTGCTGAAAACTGAGGAGGACTTAAAGCACTTGATGAAGATCAAGGATTGCAGCCTTCAGCATGATTATGACTCATTGTCAAGAAGAACAAAGTCCTTACAAATATAAATAGGTAAACGTGATAAATGGAAAAAAGGTTGAAGTTGTCAAGAATTTCATCTTGCCTGGATCCACAATCAATGCTCATGGGAGCAGCAGTAAGCAGATCAAAATACTCATTACATTAGGTAAATCTGCTGCCCAAGAGTATTGAAAAGCCAGGATGTTACTTTGAGGACTAAGATGTGGCTGACCCAAGCTTAGTGTTGTCCATTGCCTCCTATGCATGTGACAGTTGGGAGCTGAATAAGAAAAGCCAAAGGAGAATCCATGCATTGGCATTGTGGAGCTGGGGGAGTATTGAAAGGACCAGGGACTGCAGAAAAGACAAACCAGAGGGCTCCTTAGAGGCAAGGGTGGCAAGGCTTCATCTTACATACTTTGGGCATGTGGTCAGGAGCGACCAGTCCCGGGAGAAGGACATCATGCTGAGAAAAGTAGAAGGCTAGCAGAAGAGGAAGTGGAGTGACAAAGAGGCTGCGACAATGGCTGCAGGCAGAGGAACAATGGTTAGGACCGCACAGTGTTCCCTTCTGTTGTGCATCAGGTCACCGTGGGTTGGAACCAACTCAATGGCACCTAACAACAACAACAAGAGTTTAACAGCCTTCTCTGTTAACCATTGTTGTAACAACTAGACAGAAATCGGGACCAAAGATCTGAACCTTATCAGCCCCCTTTACCGAGGGGATGTTCAGAGGGTAGTTGCACGGCAGCCTCAGGATGCTCATTCCCCCCGGTGTACAGGATGCTCACTCATTTTCCCCGGTGTATAGGATGCTCACTCATTTCCCCCGGGTGTACATGGCGTGCTCATGGTGACAGGCTCCACGCGGGGCCATAAAGCTCGTTTCCGTACATTGTAAAACATTGAAATCCCAGATGGTGAATTCTCCGCCCCCGGTGGAGTTTTCATCACCACAGTTTTCATCACCACACAGTCCAAACACAAGCCTTCTTTCTGGCTCCCGTGGTCATGGCGCAGCTTTCTCGCAGCTGTGTCACGGTGGTTAGCACTTCTGAATCTACGTGGGTAAGCCCAAGAGAAAGGAAAGCCAGCCCAAACAGGAATCTGCGTGAATATTCAGAAGAGCAACCCAAATATCTATCAGCTGGTGGATGGAGAACATGTGGCATGTGGTCATAAAAAAAGCAAGGCAATATTGACCTGTTCTGTAAAACGGGAAAACCTTGAATTCGTCACACGAAAGAATTCTAAACGTGAACCACCGCTGCCACCCAATGGCACAGTGAACGGGCCCTGCCAGCTTGAACAAGGCTCGAGCTCCTGGACAGGTCCATCAAGAAGCACCCCGGACAGAACACGAACGGGGACGGGAGGCAAGACGGGGCTCTTCTTACGACTGGTGGGGATGGAAAACAGAAACAGTATGGCGAGTCCGACGGTCAAACAATTCTACATCCAGATTCCGGCATACCTCAGAGAAAATGAAGGTTTCGTTCCAGTAACCACAACAAAGCAAATATCACAAAAGAGGGAGTCACAATTATTTTTTTTGTGCCTCTCAGTGCATATAAAAGTTAACACTATACCATTGTGTATTAAGTGCAGTAGCGTTATGAAAATGTTGACTTATTGTGACAATGACCAGCGTGTGACAGAGATATCAAGTGAGCACACACGATTGGGAAAACAGCGCCAATGGACTTGCTTGAGGCTGGGTTGTCACAAACCTCCCATGTGCTAAACAGCGTCACAAAGCCAGGTACGCCCGTGTATACCCTCAGGAGCTAACAGCAGTCATGCGCGCCTCTTTGCTCGTTGTACCACTTATCTACCAAGCCAGAGGGACGGACTCAGCCCAGGTGCCCATCAACAGAAAGAGATACGCAACATGCGGCCATTGGACACCAGGGAAGGCTATGCCGGTCTAACGGAATAGTCGTTCCTAGAACATCTTGCAGCATGCCCACTGCTGCCACTGCGCCTATTTCAACTCAGCGAGCCTGTGGGTTTCCGAGACTGTACATCTTTACCGGAGCGGACGGCCTCATATTGCTCCTTCAAGAGAAATAGTCAATGATCTTTCTATGAAATGACAAGGCTATGCAGAGGCGAGAGCCATTGGTGGTCACTCGGGGTTGGAGTCGGGGACCTGGGGAAGGGAAGGTGGTGGAAGGGTGTCTTCTCTAGGGAGAAGCCATTGTCAACAATGACATGTGAGGTGCCACCAAGCTGAGCCTCACAGTCGCCCTGTCTGTGTACCACAGAAGAAAACACCACCCTGCCCCATGCCAGCCTCACCATTATGTTTGCGCCAATGTTGCAGCCACTTCGCTGCCCCTCTGCTTCCCGGTGCATGATGCCATTTTAATATGTCCAAACTACATTATTACAATGCGCATTGCCAATACCATTACTCAGATGCATCCGCCCTCCCTCAGTCTCCCTTATCCTCTGCCCAGCTTGCACGTGCGCACGAGCTGACGGCACCATGGCTGGGTCTGGCGCACCTTGCTGACATCTCTGCTCTTGAACGCTGTACGGAGGGCTTTTGCCGCAGATGTGCCCGGTGGGACCCGGGCCTGCTTTGTTTGCTGTTGTCTCCATGAGCGTTGATTATGGAGCTAAGTACAATGAG